TGCACGAGTCGAGACAGCTACGAATCCGTAAGTACTGAATGGTTATATGCAGACTATATATACCTGTAATGATATAAGTATGCAATACGAGGAACGCCGGGAGCGTTCTTTAGTATTTTAGAGAGTGTTTTTGGTGCGTCTGCTACGGCAACGGAAAAGACGTTCGCCGGATCGGCTGAACATCCCTCCGCATCAACGACAACGTTGAGAAGAGTGAAGCTAGTGGTCTGCTTCTCAACGTCAAAAATCTTGATACCACCCTTGAAATATTTGTCCACAAGGGCCACAGCCTGAAATCGGGGGGGTCAAACAGAGGCAAAATAGATGGTCGACACTAACCTCTCGTTCAAGGCTTTCGGTGATAGTCTCTTCATTAACTCTAGACCAATAATTGTTAGCCTTAATGCGAGTGATATGCAGACACTCACTTGCACACGACAACCATGCGACAGCTATACGCCTTCTGACATCCAGCAATATAATAATCGCCATAATTATTTCTAAATTCGGCGTCAGAAAGTTTGTCCAACCCCGCCTTGAGGCGCACATCCTCTGGAATATAATCGACGGTAAAATCTGCCTCGACTTTGTACTGCACGAGAATCGTCGATGACGAGTGGTTTTGCGACAAAACTGACGCGATCTTGGCGTTGGCGCCAACAGGACTCAACACATTCACGGTTCCGCCAATTTCCATCTCAAATCCATCCTGCAAATCCTTGACCCCCTTCCATTGCAGGCGCTCGACGGATATGCGAGTTTTGCCTGGCTTCGACGAGTCCGCCATTTTGGGATCACGGAGCGCGCAGCGTGCCATGAATTCGCCAGTGAGGGCGTCGACCCCAAATCCTGGTCTGAAAGGCTCCGACCATGGGATTTTCATATGCTGCTCCAGCATCGTATGAGCGGTCTACGGTTAATTCTACGGTGAGCCGAGGCTAGCGCTACATATAAAAACCGGCACACCTTCTTTGGCTGGGTTGAAGCTGCGTCCACCCCATGGAGCGCTGGGGCTTGTCGGGAAGACTCGTTGTTCTTCGATGCTGGTTGGTGGCGGGCGGCTTGAGCGTCCCATCTGGCGTTTTGGCACCATCTGGCGTTTTGGAACGGTCTGATTTAGGTTTGAGGGCCTTCGGAGGCGCTAGTAACGCAGGCTTGGTGTCATTGGCTGCAATACCCTGCGAAGATTTGGGTCCCATAAATTAAAGAGTAACCAAAAAGCAACAGAGTCCAAGTTGAGCAGTGGAGAGAGAAGATGGTTCATGATACTAATAGACGCTGAGGATGTCATCAGCTGTGGTCGGCAAGCGGCTGCGGTTGGCCGAAGTTTGATGGCAAACTTGCCACAGTTTTTTATGTTGGTCAAACTTCTGAATTCGAGGAAAAACCAAATGACATGTTCCCGTATTATAACTAATCTACAATTTATTCGCTCTTGACTTCCTCCATCCTGACCCACAATCCGCCCTACGCACACAGATATCAGATTCATCTAATCCCAGCATCGAAAGACTCAAACAAAACACACCTTAGCGAACATGGTCAAATGCCTTCCGAGCATAATCTTCTCCGTTGCCTGCGTGCCCTTCGCGTTCTTCCAGTGTGCAGGCGGCCTCGTCGCCTCCGGCTGGGCGTCCGGCGCGAGAGCAAAGCCCGTGAAGTTCTGCAAAAGGCGGACGAGGAAGAACGATGCTTCGTTGAGGGCGAACTGTGGGCGAGGAGGGGTAAGCTTTATGTCGGTAGAGGAAGGACGGAGGTGGCAACGCGCCTGTTGACCAAGACAAATCCTGGGCCCTGGAAAGTTGGTGAGAAGTAGATTCACGGCGAAGGAATGATACGGGATGCATACCGGCATTAAAGGGAAGGAAAATGAACGGGTTCGGTGTGAGGTACTTCTTAACTCGTTCATCGAGGAAACGGTCCGGATCGAATTTCAATGCTGATTCATTGTGAGATTCATCTAGTGGACGACGAGAGGGACACTTACCGTCAGGCCCCACAGGTCTTTGCGCCGGTGCATCAGAAACACGCTGTAGCGCACCCTTTTGTGCGGTATCAGGGACGACTATTCGAAAACACAAATAAATGAACGAACTTGGTGTTCGGTGTCACATAAAACGGTTTATCCCCGGGTCTGATGGCAGGCAGGGTTGTAGCTTTCCTCGAAGTTCTGCGATAAACAGATCAGTCCAGAATCAAGTGTATCTGGGACGAAAGCGTGCCTGGCGTTAAACGGCCTGGGTACGAGATGAGTTAAGAACGATTGGTATCAGTAGGCCTTAACAGAGGAGCTTACACGGCAGGATACAATCTCAGCGTTTCTAAGAATTACGGAACATTGGTTAGGAAAATAGCATCACCGGGTTTAAGAACCGCACCGTTAAGGAACGCCCGCAGGTACTTCATGCTGCGCAGGTCGTCGTAGGTGATCATCCTGGAGCTTCCGACGGTATCGAGAATTTCTTTGCGCAGCCGGGCTGCAATTTCTGGATGTTCCGCAAGCATGTATACCGCGAATGTCAGGGTCGCGGCGGTCTGAAGACGTATATCTGAGCGAACAAAAGTCATCGTGCTGTGTACGCACAGTGTCGCGTCCGGCAACCAGGATATTGAAAATCGAATCTTTGATGACTTTTTTGTCTACAAAAAGGTTTAGCTTTCAGGTGGTAAGTTGACAAAAGAACAAGACGTACTGTCTGTGGCTTGGACCAAATGACTCAAAAATGTCGCCTCCTCATCGCCTTTCCCGCCCTCTAAGTCCTTGTCCTTCTCGTTTGCCTTCTTCCGCTCCAGCGCAGCGTCCAAAATCGGCTCGATATATGCGTCCGCGATGTCCCTGTGCGGCTTCACCTTGTCGGCCCACAACTCCGCAAGCGGCCATTTAGTTGCCAACGCGCTGCGTTTGACCGTCATCAACTGGCCGTATGTGAACGCGCGGACGTAGGTGTTGGATGGATGGTTCAGGAAGGACGGGGCGTTGGAGAGGGGGGAGGACTCCGGGTAAGAGAGCCCCGCGGACATGGAGTCGACGGACTTGCCGAAGAGGAATTCGGTGGCAGAGTCAAGTGTGAAGCGAGAGACGCAGTCCTATATGTAAAATAAGTGCTTAGACGGCGGCCTAGAAACACCGGTTAGAGTATTGACCTGAATGTCGACGGGGTAGCCATCCGCAAGGCGTTTCTTGAGGTGCGCCAGAGCGTCGCGGGTGTGGGTGTCGAAAGTGTCGAAGTCGCTGATACGTTCTGATTTTACATCGAGCATGAAAATGTGTGCGAGCATGCGGTCTGAATAAAGCTGCTGACCTCGATGGAAAAATGGGCGACTCATACTGCGATGGAACTTCCACATGTCATCTACCCAACGAACGGATGAGCCATTTGGTACATTCGAAGGAATTAATCCGCGGGAATATATAGCTGCATACTCACCGTCAGCGTTGAAGACACCTGTGGTAATTATCAAAGGGTCTGCTAAAGGCAATAGAACGTAAAAACCATACCAGTCCCAAGCAACGATTGGCTCGAGTGCATACTGGCGGGGCCTAAAAATAGTTATGAAAACGCCAATCCAGTGCATGCCTGCTCCGACATACCCTTCCAAAAATGGTCGAACTCCGTCGCCAGGATTGCCTTGATGTGGTCCGGCTCGATTGTGAATATCTGAGAGGGTGCAGAAGTGCGATTGGCGCCAATTCACAGGTGTGAAATACAAATGAATACTTACCACGGGGTCAAAAGCGACTGTGGCCTTGAATGTGTTGCCGTATATTTCAAACGAGTCGAGAAGAAAATCACCTACATGCGAACCGGATGAATTGATAAGGAGGATGTGTATTCCAAAACAGTCTAACGGACCGGGATACTCTGTCTTCGCCAGGGCCGTCATCAAGCTCCACCCGCCAGGCCACTTGTCGTAGGCTTCAGGGATCGGTACAGCACCGCGCGCGGGCCGCGTCTCGGGCGTTCCGGAACGTCATGTAGAAGTGGGCGAGAATAGTAAGGACAGGATGCGCAAGAAGCGCGGCAAGGAGCTGGCTCCACAGTGGTAGTAGCGGGACTCCCAAGTTGAGGCGGGGGAGGATGTGGCTGAGGAATACATACGTCACGATGGGGGGAATGAGTGTGCTGGGGAGCAGTTCGAGGAGATATGAAACGCCTGGGGTGGGCTTGATCATGATTGTTTGCGGGAACGGGAGCGAGTGCGTCCTAAATATTTTCGTGGCCTGCGTTAAATAAAGTGCAGCGCTGCTCCGTTGATTTCCTCCACGAAGACAGCTTGCTCGGAACAGACGATGATTGCCATGGAAGGGTGGATGTGTTTGTAATCCTGCTGATCATCTCGCTCGCCTAAAATGGAAATCGCAGAAAAAAGGGCCTAAGTCTCGGAGAGTAACTCAGTGGGCCGGACTGAGGGTGCCGCGGTTGCCGGCGGTTCAAAGAGAGGATACGACAACGGAGTACGGAGGTAGAACTATGAGAGACCCAAGCCAGAGCATTATATCACCAGGAGTTTTCGGAACACAAGCGCTATTGCTGCGAGTGGGTCGAACTGAGTGCGGCGTCGCGCTGCCCTGGGCTCGCCCGATATTGACCGGAACCGGATGGCAGCGGGGGGAACCGGATGAAAGTGGGCGGAAGAGACGAGCGGATGTTTGTCTCGTGCGTAGTTTGTGTGACTTCAATAGATATCCCTGGCCAGACTGGGTCGAGAACCACATACAGTAAGCGGTTGAGGAAGACTAGTAGCTAGCTAGGCTGGCTAGTTAGCCACACCCGCAGTCGGCCGCCACGCGGCGCGACTTGCGTCTAGGCGTCTAGAATGAATTAGTAGTTGTAGGAGGTGCCGTCTGATTGAGGCCGCAGAAAAAGTGGGCAAAGCTTCGGGTGTCAACTTGTTCAAGTTGAAGTTGCGGCGTCTGTGCTCTGATGTGATGGCGCACCGAAGGCCGAATGGATGCTCTTAGGACACTAGGTATAGAGCACTGTAGAGCACCGAATATCTCTTGACTAGTATATCGGTTAGTACACGCGCTTGTCATTGTCCACACCTCGTCAGTCAACGCGCGAAAGCTGGGTTCGACTCCCAGGTCGAGAGTTTCTTTTCCGTGGTATTTTTTTTTGTCCGAATCTATCTTTGAATTAAACTCGCTCGTGCGTCCCCTCATAACTATTCGTCAATCCAACGGTGCTACTGACACAACTGCAAAATGCCTTTTTGGGACGGCGGCGGAGTGCGTGAAGAAATTTGAAAGACTTTTAAAGGCACATGTAAGAGTTGTGGGACGAGAAAATTGTTGGCTAAGACAGGAATTAGGTAGCATGGGCATACAGCAGGTATCAAACGAAAGACATCGCATCACATCGCATCACATAACGGGCGAAAAAAGCACGCAACGAGTGTAGGTAGCAACTTGACTACCGTAGCGCAGACCCAGACAGGTATGTGCACCACTCAGACGGGCGAAATTAGCCGCGCGTATATATGTGTGTCCTGCACATGTAGATGCGAAGTTGAAGACCGTGTGGTATTTGCTTGGCGGAAAGGGCCGAGGGAGGGGTCGATAATTGGGAGGAAACGAGAAACCAGAAATGAGGAGATGGGTTTGGAGAATTGGGGGCACTGGGACCGGTGTGATTCGGGCGGATGGGTTGGTGTGGCGTGGTGGCCGAACCGCTAGGAATTGAAGGCCGAGTCTGCTGAAGGGGACACTGCTTTATCGGTGCGGGCGCAGCCTGAGGCACGGTCGGAGGTCGATGGGCATTTGACCTTGGAGTTCAGTGTTTGTACCACTTTTGGATCTTGGACTGGGACACAAGCGGCTCTGAGTAGGAGGGCAGAGTGAGATTGTTGTTGGATATGTAGGAGGAGTGTCGTTGCTAGCAGGCTTTTACGGCCCAACTTGCGGAACCGTCGGCTAGTCGGTGAGTCTCGGTGCCGCATCGTACGAAGTACACACTTCCAGCCGAAGAGCAGCAGAACAGAACCGAGGATTAGGTTTAAGGTTAACGTTTTAAAGGGATCGGCAGCCCGCGGGTTTTGCACTTGACGCTGTCCTGGACGTTCCGAGCGGCGGTAGTCGCTGTTGAGTGCCCAGAGAGAAGCCGCCAGAAAGCCGCAAGAGGAGTACGGGTGGAGGTACGCGAAGAGCGGCATTGGGTGCCCTTGCCCAGGAAGCCGTCGTCATCGTAGGAGTCGTCTTTTGAGGAACCTGAAAAGCCAAAACTTGTACCAAGGTCCTCACGGGCTGCTTCAAAGTAGGTCATAGTACATAGAGCCGTTGTGTGAGGAAGCTGAAAGCCCCAGCAAGTCTCACTGTGCTGCGACCCACGTTGGGTGTTTGAGGCACGTTGGGTGGAAGAGGTAAAGTGTATCGATGATTGATGATTACGTTACGCTGATCCTCGCCGTTTTCTCTTCTTGCTATCGTCTCGTCGATGGCCAGCAGCGGCCGTCGCACTACGGTAGGCGAGAGCTACGCGGTTCGATTCAAATCAAGAACCGCGGTTCGGCTGTGAACTCCGGCGCATTCCGATACCCACGCCCGCCTCTCAACCCACCACGGCCCCTATTCGTCCTGAAGCTGTCGCTGCCGTTGCCGCCGCCTGCGCTGTTCCTCGTGCTCGTCGTGCTGCCTCCCGCCCCCCACTGTATCTCGCCACTCACCGCAATACCCGCGTCCACCTCAATGTCCTCGGGTCGTCCTGAAGCTGCGGCTGTTGTCCCACCATCGTCGCCGCCGTTGCCGCCGTTGCCGCCGCTATCGCCGTTGCTCCCGCCCTTCGCGCCGCCTCCCGCCCCCTGCTGTATACCGCCACTCTCATGCAATCATGGTGTTTTTTCAGCGAGTGGATGTGATACCTGTTGTGATGCACGCCCCCAGCTCGTCCTGACGCCGTTGCCACTGCCGTTACCGCCCCCGCCGCTGTTGCCCTTCTGCCCATCGCACTCCCTCTGCCCCCTCCGGTATCAGGCAGCCATCCAAACCATTCGTGCCTTCGCCATAACCTCAGTTCCCAAACATGTCCAATTCCTGCGGCCGCTGTATGCCAGTTTCCAGACCCTCTATGAGACATGGCTTCAGAAGACAAGGTTTGCACCTCTTTCGTCTCGATTAACCGTCTGTCCGAAGCTGTGTCTAATCGCTTTTTGCGGACACTCTTTTCGTCCTCTGCATGACCCACTCTGACACACAGCCTCGTGGAACTCTGCGTTACCGGCTCTTGTCCACGTCTCTCCGTCCAGCTGGGTCTCCCCTCACTGACCCACCTGAGGTCATGAATATGTCCGCCACCTTGCCGCCGAACTTGGAGATGAATACACATTCCTTGAGACAGAGGCGGATGTGCGGCATGCCAAAGTCGACACCTGCTCCGGAAACCAGAAAAGAGGAAATTCCTGCAGAACCCAAGATCATTGGCACTATCGAGGATCTGTGCGCTTTGGCAAAGGAGTGTACTGTGTTCTTGATTGGGTACAACACGGAATCTGATGCGGTCGATCTGCTCGAAGACCTGGAAATTGTCGGGGAAACAGCGCATCTAGTGGATGACAACACGTTACGATAACCGTGTGTCAATACATGATACGGTAGGTCTCGTATTTGCTCAGAATTCCCTGCTATTGTGGAAGCTGTTCACAAATTATTTGTTTCCCCATATATCACACTTACAAACCGCGGGAGAAATGTCTAGAAAAATGTTGGCGGGTATCGACACCTCAGAAAGAATGTATGTAGCTTAACTTCACTAGCAATATATTGTGCACATATCTTGTTCAAACATCGAGCTCAATAAGATAAATATCTGAAATGAGTTGGTCAATACTCTGTGTGCTGAATTACGGTAATAACTTCATCATGGATGTGTTTAAGACGCAGCAAATAAAGGAGTTATTTGCCAGAGATGTACATCTGTTTATTGGAGGTCCGGGTACGGATACATAGACAGAGCTACTGACTCGGGTTTCTTCTCCCTTCGCCTCTCGCTAACACATTGGTAAGAATCCTTTGATTCAAGGGAGCAGACAACAACCGACTTCTTTATATGTAAGTTGTGGGGGATCAGCACAGTGTCGATATGCCACTCATGTGAGATGCACCCTCTGCAGAACATCGGAGGCTTGAAAAAAACCAGTGACGAAACAACAGACCACTCAAGACACGGGTTTACCATATCATGGTTGATGCGGTGCCGCGTCGCAAATGTAGCCACGTTCAGGGAAAGATTCGAGTGTACTGTAGTAATTTTTTCCAGAAGGATTGCGCCGAGCTGACCTTGAAATCGCCCGGATTTATCTTCTGTGATTTGGCCGACTGCCCTCTTACATTCGTCATGACAGTGCTCCGACCACTCAGTCAGCGGCGGCACCATTGGGGGCGGGGAATCACCGGGGCAGCCCTACTTCACCATGACAGCAGGGCAGGAGGCGGCGCGATGGGCAGGAGCAACGGTGTTGGCAGCAGCGACGATGACGGGGGCAACAGCAGGGGCATAAGGACGAGCCAGGGAGGTGGTGGGTCAAGAGGTAGGCATGAGTATCACAGTGAGTGGTGGTATACAGCAGGGGGCGGGAGGCGGCGCAAAGGGCGGGAGCAACAGCGATAGCGGCGGGCAACGGCGGCAACGGCGGCGACGATGGTGGGACAACAGCCGCAGCTTCAGGACGACCCGAGGACATTGAGATGGACGCGGGTATTGCGGTGAGTGGCGAGATACAGTGGGGGGCAGGAGGCAGCACGACGGCGAGGAACAGCGCAGGCGGCAACGGCAGCGACAGCTTCAGGACGAATAGGGCCGTGGTGGGTTGAGAGGCGGGGCGTGGGTATCGGAATGCGCCGGAGTTCACAGCCGAACCGCGGTTCTTGATTTGAATCGAACCGCGTAGCTCTCGCCTACCGTAGTCGCACCCACCGCAAGAGAATATATGCCCTGTGCCTGTCTTCAGACACCACAAACACCCTCCCAGAGTACATCGGCTGGCGCGACCTCGTCCCGCCCCCGAAGTATGACTCAGAGGAAGGCGCTGATGCCGATGCTGATGACGATTACAGACGACGCCGACGACGCAGATCTCACATTAGTCTCGAGGCCAGCGTACATCCCGCCACCCGTCTCGCCGCGACTGCAGCATCAACAGCAACGCCGGAGCCACCGCCGCCGCGTCTCAAGTCCACTTCAGCAGACGGACGTCCTCCTCGACTCGTTGTCGGAGCGCAGCGTGGTCAATTGCGTGGCACCTTTTTAGTGAGTCGTCTTTTGAAAAGGGTGAGACGAAACACTGATTGCAATAGATGGTGGTCGGCGGAGCGCTGCTCAATGTGGGCCAGGTCGACGTCCTTGAGGACTACCAGCTGCTCATCGTGCTCTCCGGTGCGTACCGCCCTTCTGATCCTCGTTAGCTTTTCTGACGCCTCGTCCTACAGAGCACCAAGTGCTGATGTTCCCGTTCGACGCACTGGACCCGATGGATTCCAACGCAGGGCTCAAGCGCGCCTAGCGCATTGCCACGCACACATCCTTCTTCAAGGCAGGGTTCTGCTTCGTTTCACCGCTGTGTGCTCAAGATCGTCGGTGGGTAGGAATTCTACATTCCGGTCGAGTCGACGTCAATACACTACCTCAAGACGCGGATGTGCATTGGGTGCTTGAAAGGCTTTGAGATTCTCGATCTCGAGTCGCTGGAGATGCAGGGGCTGCTCGACCCTTTCTGACGAGTCCCTTGAGTTTTTCCGGAAGTGTGAAGGTCTGCGCCCCATGGCAATATATTGCATAAATAACGATTTTTTACTCTGCTACAATGTGCACTCAAGTGATATCTGTGTTTCTTGCCATTGTCTGAATACCCTTGCAGTACCTGTTGTAGTAGTCCTTCAATATAATGGTTTTATAATCTTCCTGCAATGCCATGTCAATATTGCAGTTAATTTTTTCAAGTTACTGAGAGCATTGGCAAGGACGAGAGAGGTTGGAGCCATGTCTGAGAAAGAACATCCAAACTTTTCAGGTCTTTTGCTCGCCAGCAATTTTCTATCGACTATTGGTCGGCTCGGCTGCTACTGCCGTCCCGCTCCCGTTGACGGCCGTCATTTTGCCGTC